TGATGAGTTTATTCCTTCCTATGAAAGAAGTTAGACGTTCTTTGTGGAGCTGTCACATAGACATACACAGGTTAAAAATCAACTCTGCTTCCTGGAGTGGGTCTAGCTCTCAGAATCTTTCTTCCCTTTAAACTGAGCCAACATCTGGAAGACACATGGAAGAAGACCATTAAATTGTCTTTTTTTTTTCATAATCAGGAAAAGGAGAATAAGCAAGGCTCACTCTCCCAGAATTTTTCTCAGGCTCCTGGACAATCTTCCCAATCTAAGGACAATATTTTTCTTTCATTTTAATTTCAACCAAAGAATCACATGGTTAAAAAAATAATGACCCCCTGCCATACACCTCCTCATAGCAGGTCCTGCTTCCCAGGGGCAACCACTATTACCCATATCCATTTATGTTTCTTTCGATGATTATTTCCATATCTCTGGAAAACAAACCAACACTACTTCTTGATTTATCAAATTTAGACATTATCTTACTGAATTCCTGCCACAATAAACAAGAATTTATCTCACTTACACAATGGCCCCCTCTCCTCCACCTGCCTAATTTTGACAGGCAAATCATTACTCTTAGCTCCTCTACTGGAGTGGCTCTCAACATTAGCTGCATCAGAATTAATAAGCTGGTCAGCTTATTAAAACACAGCTCCCTGGGACCCACCCCTTGAGTTTCTGATTCAGTAGGTCTGGGGTGGGGCCCAAGAATTTTCATTTCTCACAAGATCCCAAAAGAGGTTGACACTGCTGGTTCAGTGACCACACTTTAAGAAGTACTGCTCTACTGACAACCTCTGCAATTTTAAGTAATAAACCGCTATTTCTTGTTTCATCCAGTTTTGCAATATCTCTTGACTCACCAATTTAAAAAATTAAGATATTAAGAGAAATTCTGTCATTCTCTTTTTACCTCTATACGGTCAAATTTACTGATATTTAAATTTTATATTATAACCATAGCTCTGATTTGGGCTTGACTATAAATACAGAAAACCAATAAATAGTGCTAATGTTATAAAGGCTACATGAGTACTGTTCACAGTAGAGCCAAGACAAACGTCATGATTACATACCCTCCTCTACAGGTGCAAAGTTAAACTCCTAGAAGACTCAACTTTTACTTAAGGGAGCATATCTGTAGTATCAAGGTCCTTTTCTTCCTTATACTCTTCTACTTGCTCAAAATCCCACCACATTGTCTTATATTTGAACCGTGACATACTGACCCCACTTCAATTTCTTCTGGAAGTTTGTGATTGCCCTTATTTTTTTCTTATCCAGAGAAGAAATATATTCCATCTACACTGTATCCTGAATATTTGCTACTTTCTTGTCATTCTATTACTGGCTCATTCTGCTTGAAGTTTGTTGGGTCCCTGTTCTCAGTCGATCAACTGTTTTTTAGATTTGTGGCTCGATTGTCATGCTGGGCTTTCTTGTTGGTAGACTTCTGGGAGTTAGTTCTACCATTTCTTCTATCGTACATCTTGCTCCTTCTTGTTGTCACCCTCGTTTTGTTGCAGTACATCTCAGGTAACTTCTTTGGAAGAGTTACTAGGCAGGTAAACTTCCTGGGTCTTCGCTTGTCTGAAAAATGACTTTATTTTGACCTCACACTTGACTGTTAGACTAAGCATCAAATTCTGGTTTCCAAAGCACTTTCTCTCAGAACTTTGAGGCCTTTATTTCACCATATTCTAGCTTCCAGTCATGCTAATAAGGAATCTAATGAACTACTTAATGTGATTCTAATTCTGTTGTAAGCTGACACACACTCCTCACTATCATCATCCTGTACTCCCTTTCCCTGGAAGCATTTGGAATTTTCCTTCAGTCTTAGAAGCAGTGGCACTTCAAAATGATGTACCTCAGATATTTTTGATTTATCCTGCTTGTAAACTGATGGGCCCTTTAAATTAAAAATAATCTCTCTTTAATTCTGGGAAATTTCATTCTCGTATTTTTCCTATCATTTCTTCTTCATTTTCTATGTTTACTTTTTCTGGTATTCCTATTACTTGGATATGGAACCTGGTAGATTGATCCTTTAGCTCTCTTTTCCATTTGCCTTTTAGCTCTGCTTACTGAGGGATTTCTTACCATTATCTTGTAATCCTTCTAGGAAATTTTCGGCTCTGTAACCATATTGTTAATTTTCAAGAAACTTTCCCTTATTCTCTGATTCTTCCCTTTAAAAAGAAATAGAATTCCAACCATTTTCTAATGGACACAATATATTCTTAAATCCCCTTGTGTTTATTACAAAGTTTAAGGTAGTTTTAACATCTGTATAATCTCTTCTAACCCCTGAATAATTTATTTCCTTCTAAATTAATTAGTCAATTATTCTATTTGTTTACTTTGGTCTTTTTGTTTTCATATACCACATTCCCCTCACCGTCCCCAATCTCAGGTTTCCTGGGTTGTCCATTCATATTTAAGAATAAGGTAAAAGAGCTGATTGGAAAATCTGTGGCTGTGTTTGGGTGGATGATAGGAGGGGAAGCTAGCTTTTACAGTAGAGGCTCCAAATGCCAGAAGTAAGGCTTTCCTCTAGGGAAGCAGCCTACTCACACTACCTCAAGCAGGTTATTCAGTTCTTTAGAGAAGAAAATGCCTGGTTGCTTGCTCTTCTGCATACCTGAAGTATGTAGGGGTAGGGACAGGGGTGGACAGTCAACTCTTCCACATACCAACCTTCACTTAATACCTCTCTTCCCTGTTTCAGCTTCACTTCTCACTCAGGCCTCCTTTACAACTGCCGGCCTGACTGTGGCTGCAGCCTCTCAGCTCCACATATAGAAAGGCACTAAGCCATCTATGCATAGTTCAAGGTTCAACCAACAACACTCTTCCATCTCCCTTACTCCCTAAAACTACTACACTCTTTCATTGGCTGATACCCTTTCCCCCACAGTGTTCTCCTTCCTCTTCCTATTTACCCATGCATAATCCTTGTAATGGGGTGTCAGGAAGCACAAACAAATATTTCTGCTTGGCTGGTCATCTTGAACCAGAAGTGACCAAGAAGAGCATTTTAATGCTAATGTGTCCCTGCATCTCTGATCAGGCTGATTTACTGAGTCTCCAGCCTGACTTCTCACCCCACTTCACTGTCAGGAGATGACATCAATTTCTACTTCTCAGTCAAGGCAGAAGTCACCAGCTTCCTGCCCTGCCTCTTCATCTTATCTTCCTCTCCTCTTTTCCTCGCCTTCATCATGCCTCCCTCCTCCACTCTGCCCCACCCACTTAGACACTCAGTGTCCTCCCAGTCTCTCCCCTGACTGCCCCCCAGAGCCTGTTCCAAGTATCAATGACCAGCAGAGCATACTGGCCACCCTCTTTGGCACTTGTGTTTTGAAAGAAGTTCATGTTTGAATGCAAAAGCAGCATCCAAAAAGGCAGCACTGCCAATAGGTTGTGCATATGTCTGTAGTGTGCACTGTCAGCCCTGCCCAGATCCCTTTACAACTGCTGTCCCCATCCTCCAGCTGACGTGAGTGTAGGCAGCTAACTGCTCATATTTGCATCCTTTTCCAAAGAACTCTGCTCAGCTGAAGGGAGCATCCTACAGGAGAGTTATATTCTCCTTCCATGCCCCACAGCCAGCCAATAGCTGACTAATCTGGGGTACAAAGGGCCAGCCCCCTTGCCTCAAGGAGAGGACAACTCTTTGGTGTAATTTATGCTCCAGAGTCCCCAGCTCAGGCCAACGCTAGACTTTAGCTGAGACCACATCCTTGCTCAGCTCCTTCCCCTTCCTCACTTCCTTACAAGTTTCTCTCAAGAGCACAGCCTCATGAGACCATGGTGCTCCCAAATCCTTGTCTCAGGCTCTGCTTCGAGAGAATCTGACCCAAGACAACATGGCGGAGACTTTGGGAGAAAATAGGGATGCCTTGGTAAAAATTTCACCACTTAACTGAACATATCTGGATGGACACCTCAAACCCAAACACTTCTCTGCGGTTCTGTTTACAACTTTAAACTGCAAGGCCGGGGTCACTAACTGCTAGTTTTCTCCTAAATTCAGAGCAGTTAGAAGAACCATAGAGGGTGGGGCTGGTGGGTGGTTCCACAGCTCTGCCCCCACCCTGCACAGGAGTCTGGTTTAGCCAAAAAAAGTTTTTCCTGATCTTCCCCAGGGTCCTGGATCTGTGGTGATCTCGGGTGTTAAGGAAAGATTTAAAACCAACTTGGGATCTCAGATTCCTTGCATATTTCCTGCATAGCAGTCAGCACAGCACATCTCACAGATGGCTCAGGGCAGACAGGCCAATGCTGCTGCACAGAATCAGTTCATGGGTTCACTCCTACCTCACGTGGCCTGTACCTAACATTGCTCTGAAGTTCCTCTACACAGCAGCACATCCTGGAATTTGATGAGCTTCAGAAAAGATGTGTGGTCCACCTGCACGGGCAGAGCTCTAGTTTCCAGGGATACTTGGGTTGGCCATTTTTAACTCAACCACCAATTCTAGCAAGATGAAGTCCTTGCTTCTTCACCCCATTCATGCTCCACCAAAAAAACATTTATTGAGCACCAACGGTGTCCTGATCTAAGCTCTGGAAACAGTCGAGGAACAAGGGGCAAGTTCATGACCTCAAAGGGGTTATAATTTTCCAACTGCTTGAAAACAGCCTCAATGTGTTTAAATCATGTGGCTGTTCAAAGCAATCCCAAAGATCACACATTTCATCATTTTGCAGACTACACAAGGGAGGCCCAGAGTTGGGATATGCCCTGGCCACCATCTCCCAGGCAGCCAGGACCATTACTTCTGCCGTATGCACCCGCCACTGTAGGTCCCGGTTGTGAGCGTTAAGGTTCTGACCTGATTCTTTTGGGCAATCTTTTGCCCCTTTTTCCAGCGGAGCACTGGTGTCAGAGCCGGCAGCTCTCGCTCCTCCTCTCCAGTCACATGCTCACCCAGGCTGTAGGCTGCTTCAAACACGATCGGGCTGATGACGTCCTGTACTCTCCGCTGAAACAATAAACAAACGCGCACATTAACTGCTAACGCTGGCTGACATTTGTAGAGCATTTCACAGTTTACAAAGGTCTTCCACATGAATTGCCTCATATGATCCTCACAGCTACCCCTGTAAGGTAAGATTTTATTACTTTCATATTTTAGATGAGGTAACTGAGGCCGAGGGCAGTTAATGTCTTGTCCAAGGTCACTCTGCTAACAAGTGGGGGTTTTCTACTCTACCTTGCGTGGTGCCAAATCATCTTCTCTTTAGCATATGGAAGACATTACCTTACTCATCTTCCAAATATTCTTCTAAGCTAGTTGGCGGGCGGGAAAGTGTCTGCACTCACACTCCAGCGCTAACCCTTTGCATTCGCCGGGTTTTGATGATCAAAGATCTTTTGCACTGATATTAATATGGATTTTGTATTAGGGCAGGAGACCTAAAGACAGTGAGGGGCCCAGCGTCTTCCCAGAGTTAGTCATCAATGGAGCTAGGGATGAAAGTCTGACTTCTGGCCTTGGTTCTTTCCTCTGGAACCAAGAACTTTACGACCCAAGGGAGTGAGAGGCTGATAGTCACCACAGGAAAGGAGAGGGAGGGAAGGGAAGAGAGTAAATATACAATGAACACCTACCAAATGGCAAGTACTGTGCTAGATGTTCTAGGGAGATGAGCACCACGCCCAAACCCTGGGAGCTGGGCTTATTGTCCTCCACTGTACAGAAAAGGAAAAGGAGGGGGCCAGCCTGGTAGCACAGTGGTTAAGTCACACGTTCTGCTGTGGCAGCCCATGGTTCACCGGTTCAGATCCCGGATGCAGACTACACACTGCTTGTCAAGCCATGCTGTGGTAGGCATCCCACATATAAAGTAGAGGAAGACGGGCACGGATGTTAGCTCAGGGCTAGTCTTCCTGAGCAAAAAGAGGAGGATTGGTGGCAGATGTTAGCTCAGAGCTAATTTTCCTCAAAAAAGAAAAGAAAAGAAAAGAAAAGAAAAGTGCAAGTTCCCCAGGCCACAAGGCTGATAAGGACTTTGAGTCACATCTGTTCAACCCTGGAGTTCCTCACCTTTCGGCACAAGTGTCACTGCCTCCCAAGGACTTTGGGTCCTCAGTCTAACAAGTTAGAGTTAGAAATAGGGAGTAAGCTGGTAGGTGGGCTTCTGAGCAGCACCAACGAGCCCAGTCCCCAGTGTTCTGCATCTGTCAGGGAGAGACAGGAGGTGGGGAGTCAGCAGGGAAGAAGCAGCGGCCTTATTGGGAAGTGAAAGAAGTGGGGCGGGCAGGCAAAGGCAACCACAGCACCATGAGCAGGGCCAATGACTCTCTGTGTGAAGTTTGGTGGAATTTGGAGCAGATTAGCTCTGTGCTGAAAAACAGTAGAAAGTGCTAAAGCTCCCCAGAGGCACACAGTGAGGGGTTTGCTCCACCCCTCCCTGACACCCCGTGCCCCTCTCCATAGGCAGACATGCCTGTCAGTGTTTGGGTGTTCGTCCAGACTAAGGATATGCAGGCAAATGGTAGCTCATTACACGCTGTACTTTGTTTTCTTGACTTAGCATAGCTCCTGGAGATGGTTCCATGTCAGTACATAGAGCTCTACCACCTCCTTTTTAATGGGATACCGTATGTCATTACGGATGCCCTTACTGACCAATATTTGGACTCAAAGCTGCTTTAACAAGTGCATGGATGGCAGCCCACCCACAAACTGTAGCAACATTCTCCAATATGGGTTCTGTGAACCTCAGTTCCCCAGAAGAAGATAAATAAAAGGGTTGATAATCAAGTAAGTTGGGAGGACATCAGGTTAAACCAAGTGAAGGGGTTTTTGTTCTGTTTTTGTTTGTTTTTACTGCAATTGCCTCTGAGAAAGAGTGGGGGGGGGGGGTCCCAAGTTCATCGGGTCATGGAACCCTGTGTTTCCTCAGAGCTCCTCAGGGCACGGGTGTTGAGTAGAACATACTCAGAGACATTGGAGGGCAGGGTAGAAATCTCCCACAGCCCAGGAGAAGAGATGGTGTCCAAGCCAGGGCAGTGTGGAAGTAGGAGACAGAAGTGGCCACGCCTGGGGCTGCTGACTGTGGGGCAGGGCAATAGGACAAAGGGGCATGGATGCCTCCAGGGTAGGAGCTAGAGTGACCAGCAGATGATTTATATCTGTGTTCAGGAGAGCATTCAGCTGGGAATAGAGTCAACCATTCAGCATAAGTAAAATAGAGGACCTCACAGGGAAGTGATGCAGGAGCCTTTGAATAAACTGTTTCCAGAAAATTCTCTTGAACTTCAGACTTTAGGAAGAGATCTTTAATGCCTATGTCCTTTCCGGGAGCAAAATACACACCTAGGATCCAGATTCCCTTTGCCTGCTGACTCTGCCAATCCAAATTTAAAGACTTTCTGAGGTGAGGAAAATAATGGAGTGCAATCTTAATGTTTTTATAAATAAATGCTTTAGTGTTTCTTTAAGGTTGACTATCTTAAGGCTTTTTCATTTAAATCCTTCATGAGGAAATGTCAGTTATTATGTTGTTATTCTTGGAGGAGGGACTGAAGATGAGGGTGGGGGATTTAAAAGCCACTTAACGTTTCCTGGCTACTGAATGCATTTCAGAGCCTGGGCAAGCTCTTCACAGACATTATTTTCCTTAATCTGCATAACACCTGAGCTGGTAGATTATTGCTCCCACTTCACAGATGAGCTCACAGAGGTTCAGGAGCTCAAATAAGTTGTGCTCCATCCCAAAACCAGTAAGTGGTGGAGCCAGACTCAGTCTTAGAACCAGAAGCAAAACTATTTTCCTTGAAGTCCATAAATTATTATTTAAAAATTATCCCAAACGCTTTAGACTCTGACATCACCCTAAAAAATTGCCTATTTTCTTTAGAGGATACAGGGAAAGGGAAGGAAACGTTTCTCTCAGAAGGAAGCATGTGAATAAATGACAAATAACTAAGAAATAGGAGCTTGAAGTGAGCGCTGTTTCTAAACGTGCAGCCATTCAAGCCATGCTTACCGCGGAGGGAAGCCTTCGTCAGGGCACAGCTTACTCTGGATGAGTAACAAATTCTGACATATAGGGGTGTGGACGCTGTGCTCTGGCGCTGATTGCATGGACCTGTTTTAACTAAGAAGTTTCAAAAACAGCTTCTTACTACGTGTACCAGTAGCTCTGGGCAGAAGGGACCTAAACCGCAGGCAGAGGCCAAGGAGGGTGCAGCAATTAGAAACAAGCCAACACCCCCAAAAGGAGAGCCCCTCCTTCCCACACTGGGTTTGTTTTCTGTGAGCTGCAAAGGAAAAGTAGCAGCAACATTTAGCAGTTTCCTTTTCATTTTTGGAAGTGCAACTTTCCTCAGCTCAGCGCTGCAATTAAGTGGAGGAACTCTTTAGGATGGAGAGGCTTAGGGCTCTGGCCCAGACTGGAAACACTGAAATTTTACAGCTTGAAAAAAGTTCACCACTACAAAATGAAGCTTCTAAAGTTGAACACACACTTACTGTGACAGACCAAAAGACAAGAATCTACCTTTTCTTGCTAAAAATCTACAGAAGTCTCTTGTTTTGAAAATCGAAGGAGCCCACACAGAGAACACCCAGACTGGTGGCAAAATTTGCAGCGGCTGAGGTTTTACTGGGAACTTACCATATGCTCAATCTGAAATTTATTGAATGCCTACTTTATGTCAGGGCCCTGGGGAGACAGAGATGAAAGACCTTCAGGGGAAACAGGCAAGCAATGACAGTCTAGTGCAACATGCACTAGGACACAGGCTTTGGGAACACAAATGAGGGACGTCTGATTCGGCCTGCGGGTTGGCAGGCTTCCCAGAGGAGGTGCCCCAGGTTTAGTCATGAGACAGAAGGACATTAGCCAGAGAGCAGGCATGGCTGGTCTAGCAGGGTGGAGAGGGCATGGGGTGTCCAGGGCACGGGATTAGATGTGATTCCCAAAGGTGGGAAAGTTGAGCTTATGGGCAGGAAGTGGGGGACAAGGAGGCTGAAGCAGAGACCAGATCTCAAGGGCACTTACAGGTTGTGTTGACTTCATCCTAAAAGCTAGGAAGAGCTGGGAGGAAGGTAAGGTGACGTTGGAGGCTGTGTTACAGAAAAATCCCTCTGGTTTCCTGGATTGATAGGGGTAAAATTGACGCAGGGAGGCCAGTAAGGAGGCTGCATTCTAGAATGATCCTTGTAGCTGTAGCATGGAAGTGGCTCGATGGGAATAGGCCCGGGGAGAAGCAGGTAAGGAGGAGGCTTCCATAAGCGTTCAGAGGAAAGATCATGAGGGCCTGTGCCAGGACAGAGCAGTGGGGAGGGAGAAAAGGGGAGGGTTGAGGCTGATTTAGGATAGCACTTGGTGACTGGATGTGGGGGATGAGAGAGAAAGAGTAATACAAGATGCCTGTGTTCAGCTTGGGTGAGAGAGTGGACACTGGAGCCACTCGACATCATGGGGAACCAGGAGAAGGAACAGCTGTCCCTTAAGTTTAGGTGTGGACATATTGAGCTTTGTAACAACACAGAAATCCCCTTCCTGTCTCCAAACTCTAACTCTGCAGAGAATCTCCCAAACATACTGATTTGAGCCTAAAACTCCATGCTTCCTTTTCTCTTCCACTAAACTGTCTCCCTGTCCCAGTGTCCGGGGTCGGCAATCCCCAGTACTGGCTCATATAGATCCACTATGGGCCCTCTGCCCATGCCAGGAGCTCGTTCACCCATCTGTCCAGGGACGGGCTTGGCCCTCCTTCGGAGTATGTCTTCCTCCTTCCTCAGCTCACCTCACACACAGAGATGTTCTCCTGGGGACCCCAGAGAGGACTGCAGGGACTCACAGGGTCTGCTGACAAGAGGGAGTAAGAACCTCAGGGACACATGCCTGAGGTGCCATCCTAAGGACTGCCATTCCTTCAAGGAGAGTCCTTCAGGCTTCCCTTCTCATTAATTCCCTTGCTCTGAAAATGAAATACAAGTAACTCAGATGGAAAACCCAGCAGGGGAGGCCCCTGACAGGCTGGTGCCACCCATGCAAGAGTTTCTACGAGAGGAGAGGACGGTCTGCCCGGCTCTCCTGGGGCAGCTAGGCAGTTATCAGAGTCAGAAGCCCCAAAGTCTTTTGTCTCCT